TTTTTAGAGTCTCCGAATGCTTTCTATGTAGAACGGAGAGAGAGAATAGGGTTGTGAGAATGTGTGTGTGTGTGTGTGAGAGAGAGAGAGAGAGAGAGAGAGAGAGAAAGATTTAATCGGATCGATCGCATCCATCGTTCCTGCCGATAAGGCAATGCACATAAACACGTATTACGAAGGAGATACGAGCGAAAGGGATAGAATATATTGTACATGTTCTAAAGGTATATACAGTTCTCTCTCTCTCTCTCTCTCTGTTTCCTTCTCTCATTCTCTCACTGTCTCTCTCTCTCTCTCTCTCTCTCTACGTTCTTGTCTTCGTTGACCCTGGATTATCGAGGATTTAGTAAGCTCCAAGTGGGTTGTCCTTGTCTTCATCGTCAACACGTTTTAACCATGATCCATTTCTGTGATCTTATTAGAGAAACGTGCCGGAACATTTTCTATTTTTTTTTGTTTAAATAACGAGAGTTCATTTTTAAATCTCTCTAATTTGCTTGTTTCAAAATCAAATCGATAAAACGATAATATATATCTACGTATAATGGAACTTTTATATTATTTATATTTGTTTTCTTTTTCGTTTTATCTCTACGACCAATTAAATGTGATTCTTATTTATGAAATAATTATTCGAATCTCGTGTTTGATTTAATATTAAATCTATATATATAAAATATTAAAGTTATATTATTATTTATAATTAAGAATTTTTCGTTCTATACCCGCGTGATTTTAACACTTCGTATATATGCATATGAGTTTTCGTAGATATAGAACGTATAGGACATAAATGTAGTTACATTCTCTAGTGCATTCCGCGAGCATTAGTCAAACCATTCGCGTGATAGATGGTACACGTCCGTTGTAAGGACTCCTGGCTACAAGTAGGACTCTGTCCAAGACGATGTGCTTGTCCCTTGACAGGTCGTCTATCAGGACTGTGATATGTCGTCGTACGTAACTGCATCACGCGAAACAGAACCGGTGATGCACGTTACACATTCCTCTTAGGCGAATGTTTCTCTTCCATTGTGCTAAACTTTCTTCGTTTTATTTAAGTATGGTATTAAAACGCAAAGAAATGAAAAAAAAAAAAAAATACAACCGATTAATATAAACAATTATAACGACAACACTTTGGAAAAGATCATTGTAATCTGTCTTAAATGAATGTGATTTTTATGTTTTAAAATTACATTAGTATATTATGTACCTGTAATTAATTAAATGTTATTGGTTAACAAATAACGAAGTTATTGTTTATTTCAAATGTTAAGTTATAGAAAATTTTTTAAAAGATTTACCAAATGTCGTGCAGTCTCACAAATAGATGGATACTGAATAAATATTCTATTTTCCAAGCATCGAAATCCATTTTACGAGCATCGTTCAAATATAATCTTCGGTAAGGTTCATTTAAAATAGATCGGGACCGACTTTCCTCTCTCTCTCTCTCTCCCTTGGAAAAGGTAAACTCGAATTTTAGTAGACCGCAGATATATGTATATCGCGTGCGATTCGCATACTCGAGAGAGTAGAATTTTATTCCTCCTGCGGTTTCTCGTAATCCTCGTCCATTGACTTTCAACGCACACGTGGGCCATATGCGCCTATCCGTGGGAATGTTTGCATGTATGTGGGTGTAATGCGGTGTGCGTACGTATGTATTTGCCCTCGCATATACATACTAGATCGATTTATTAATAGACAACGAATAGGGCCGGTCTCTGGAGGGTAAGAATCAAAAAAAATATTCGCGTCGAGGTATTCGAGTGAGTAAAATAAGTTTTGAAAAATTCGCCCCTTGTATCCACTTTCCATCTACATATTCCCCTATCCTTTCTCACCCCCCCCTCCCCACTCAAACCATCACACTCGTATATTTCTTCTCTTTTCTATTCTCTTTTTCAAAGCTTCATGAAATTTGAATTTAATTCGACTTCCCATTGTTTCACCGCTCATAATCTTATTCTTTTTCTTTTTTCTCCCGTGATCCTTTTCTTTTACATTTTTTTTTAAATTCTTGTCGACTATACAATTTTTTTCTCTTTTATTTCTTCGTTTTCCTTTTATCCTTTAAATCGAATGATCTCTTGTATATATCCGAATACGTTTCAATCATTTTCTGAAACTATTGTGTCTGATGTTACGAATAAAATCATTTTATTTTATTATTATATTTTCTGTTATTTAGTAAATCGTGTTTGAGAAATAAACAAGTAAATAAATAAAAATAAAATTTTATTCCGTATCAATTCGATGATTGGTTACACAAATACGATTTCATCGAAATTCGTTATGGAAACAATGTTAATAATGCAATGAAGAAAAAATGAAAACAAAAAAAAAGGCAAAAAAACAAAACGAAAAGAAAATAATTGAGTAAAAATTTCTCGTTTTTTTTTTTACTTTAAATTAATAATCGAGATTTGAGTGGGAAATTCTCTCAATCAATGGTAGTAAACAAGATCACTAAAAAATACATAACTTCTTTTTCATTCTCGCCATCATTCATTTGTGAATCGATAAAAAAAAATCTAGTTTTTTTTTTTTCTCAAGCACGTATATATGCATATACGTAGTAGGAAGAGATTCAACTTATTGAACGAATTCAGAAGAGGGATAATTAAAATGAAAAGTAATTAGAGAATGAGGTGTACTTCTCGTGTTTTCGATACGGCGTTATTAAATGATCGTTATTGCACCGATTCGTTGGCCACGCTGACTGAACGTAATGCTCATTCTGTATAGTTACATAGTTATATACATATGTCTAGGGTATTTGTAGTTGGTTCTTTTCGTTCGTTTGTTCGTTCGTTCATTCGTTCGTTTTTAGAGCATCGTAATGTGTACACACACGCATGACAACGATTGACGACACATTTGACCCACGTGCTCGTATTATTATATTCAGGTGCATTCAAGCGTGACTTTGTTCGCTTTACGCGAATACGTGTTAACGATTTTCGAATAGAAAACACATCGCGCGAGTACTCGATTGCGACAAATATCGCATATTCGCCATGGAAAACAAATTCTGGATGTATTGTCGAGGAAAAAAGCGGTATTTCACTTTTTAGTTTTTCTCTCTCTCTCTCTTTCTCTTTATCGTTTATTTATTTATCTATTTTGTTTGCTTTTCCTTTCTATTTTATTTCATTTTATTTTATTTTATTTGCTTTTATTTGGTTTTATTTCTCCTCGACATTTATTTTGTTACAGAAATCTCGAGCTTCGTGTGTTGGATGATATTTGACTGACCCAGATTTCGACTCTTTACTATTCACTTCAGAATCTTGTGTTTTGTTTCTCTCTCTCTCTCTCTCT